CCCATCTTGGAGGGGACGGTGAGGGGTGGGCGGGCACAGGTGGGCTGTGTGTAACACCCATCTTGGAGGGGACGGTGGGGGGTGGGCGGGCACGGGTGGGCTGTGTGTAACACCCATCTTGGAGGGGACGGTGAGGGGTGGACGGGCACCGGTGGGCTGTGTGTAACACCCATCTTGGAGGGGACAGTGAGGGGTGGGTGGGCACCGGTGGGCTGTGTGTAACCATGTTTTAGTAGTTTTGCTTGCTATGGAGATGAGGTGATTAAACTGTCCACTTTAGGTCTGCCCAGGCCATGTTCCAGAAGCTTCTGTGAAAGCATGTGCTTCTTGTCCTGAGGATTTTTTGTGTGGGGGGTGCTTGGTGTTGCTGGCATTACGGGCTCCTCCGTGATTCTCACAGCCTGCCATGGCTGTCTCTTGGTCTTTGTGGCAGCTGATGGCGCTGGCACAGCAGGTGCTTCATGACACTGTTGTGTCCTGCGTGCAGACAGCACAGTGGCCACTGAGCCCACAGGCTGTGCTGCTGGTCCTCCCTGGTCTGCTGAGCCAGGGGCCCCTCTTGTTCCCACAGCTGGCGGCCTCAGAGCCAGAGTGAGACGGTAGGAAGTGGAGGGGCCTGCGGCACTCTGGAGAACATGCCTGCCCAGGGGTGATGCTGTCCGCTGTCCGGCAGCACAGGGCAGGCACCGGCTGCATCTGCAGGCCTGACGGGGGCCACACTCTGCCCGCCCAGTGGCACTTCCTTAGGCCGCCAGCAGCTGTCTGCTTGTTTTCTTGTGTGGACTCTCGGGCTACAAATTTTTTTCCCAAACAGAATCTAATGGTGACTGAGGAGCTTCCTGAAACCCTATCTCCTGGTGCTTCCCAGTCTCCTCCATCTGGGCCTCTGCTGCCTTTGAGTCTTTCTTTTGCAGTATCTTCTCATCGTTTTGCCGGGCGGTCCCACCTTCTCTCCATGTGGGCCCCTGCTTCCGATTCCAATGAACTGTGGCCCTGCTTGTGTGTCAGGTGGCCCTGGTCATCTGTTCCAGGGTGATACCTCAGGAGGGTGCTGGGCACAGTGTGTACAGTAGGCTTGCTGGCTACACTTCTTGGGTACCCTTCAATATGAGAATCTTTAAAATGTCTCTTTAAAAAATTTGGAAACTTGTCATGTCAGCATAAACTTGTACAGGGCATATGTATGCTTCGAGGGATGGTAGGAGACACCTTGGTGTTAATCCACACAGGACCTGAGCAGCAACAGAAGCCTGTTCTTCCCTGCAGGTGGCTCTAAGCCCCGTGCTCTACCTGTGCCAGCAGCAGGCCCTGCGCTGGACATTGGGTTAGCTGTTCCTTGCTCCTCTGTGTCCCAATACTAGGTCCTGGTTGGCTTTGAAACTCGCGAGTGGCCAGCTTCCCCCGGGCTGGGTGCGGTAGATCCATCTCTGACAGCAGGTAGGGCCCAGGAAGAGAGCAGAGCACAGACAGGGCGTGGCGTTGCTTTGTGAGGGAACAGGATGCTCCTGTATTGCCTGTGGTCGTGGTTTCCCACTCTGTGACCGTCCCCAGGCAGCTGCCCTGTGTCCATTCTCCCGGCAGTACACGCAACGTGGTCGTCTCATGCCCCACCAGCACTTCTTTTCATCCCCTTTGATGATCTGTTCTGGATGTGCATGTATTATCTCTGCCCTTGTGTTTCCTCGGGGATTTATTTACTGTTTTGTCAGTCTTGAGACAGATGCTTGGTTCTTGACTTTAGCCTGTTTCGCCAGGGTTTACATTTGGGACTAAAGACCTTTGCCTTGGTGGGTGAAGTTATGTGTTGGGCATAGTCGCTTGGCGGGTGTTGCCTTGTGTCGGCAGGTGTAGTTACCTGTCAACAAGCTGTCACTGCGTGTCGGTGGACGAAGTCACGTGTCAGCCGTTGTCGCTTGGTGAGCTGTCGCTGCGTGTTGGTGGGCAAAGTCGTGTGTCACAAATTTTCATGGGTTGTATCTCTAGATTGTTGTTGTTGTTGTTAAGTGCGGTCGAGTCGTTTCCGACTCATGGCGAC